GAGGAGAGGAGAGGAGAGGAGAGGAGAGGAGAGGAGAGGAGAGGAGAGGAGAGCAGTTGCAGCGTTTTGCAATGAAGCCACACTACCCAGGAAGCCACCTAGGAAGGTGGGCATTCATGCCTCCTGAATACATGAGATCGAAATGTCCAGCAAGGTATATTGCCCAGTGTGTGGAGGCCCCCCTGGTTAAAAGGCACACATTTAGGCCCTAGCATACAGATGCTTACTGGATTATAAAAGCAGGAAGCCCCAAATCTAACCTGAGTCTCTCAAGGCCTATCCAGTGCGTATTGTAGCACAGGCCTACACTGGAGAGGCCGTAAGTCTCTCTTTCTTCGTGGGCCGGCAGGCAAGGGGCTCCCGGCCTTCCAGCAGGGAGCCAAGATAGCACGAGCCTTTGAGGAGTCTGTTTGGAGTCCTGGACACAAGAAAGAGCCTTACCTTCAGGGCCTCTGTTTCCCTTAGCATAGCTGTTGACTTCTGAGAGAGCCTGTGAAGACCACCATCCCTCTTAGGCCCCCATCTGTCTTCTCTGGACTTAAGTGTCACTCAGGACCTGTATTACTCTATGAATAAGTCTTCAAGATGCCTGGCTCTGAGAACTGAGTGAAGGAGAAGCAGCCCCCCCCCTTGTCCCCACCTCTTCCCTGGACCCCAAAGCTCACACATGGCTGGTGCTGCCCACAAAGACTGGATTAGGCCAACTGGCAGAGAGCCACTAGACTCAGGTTCCAGACTTCTGCCTGCGCCTCAGTTTCCCTGTCAGCATACGGGAGCTGAATAACACAATGGCTGGGAAGTTATGAACACAAACGGGATCGCAGAGGCATCCCCAGGGTCACCTGAGACTATGCTTGAGAGTGGACGTGACCAGTCCCACCAAGACTTAATCAAAGTCCTTAGAGAGGACCTGCTTCTGTATAGGACTCGGTGACAGAGAACTTGCTGGAATACCTAAGGCCTTAGGTTTCAGAAAGAACAAAAATTAAAAGGCAAGCTTCCCCAGTGACAAGACGTTAGGGAGCGGGGTCCGCTTAAGCAGACATGCATGGAGAGTCTGGGGCTCATGTCCAGGTCTGAGCACCCTACTGTCCCCTAAAATGAACAGACAGCCAGCATCTAAGAGCCAAGACTAACTTCCCCGTCAGAGTGAGGGAATAGTAGACAGCCCTAGTTGAAGCCAGGCTTGGCCTCGGATGTTAGATTTATAGAACCAGGTCCAGGCGTTTGAGGACCCAGAATTTTGCCAGTCCCCATGTTGCTGATCAGAAAGGACCACAGAGGATGGCCCCGAGGCCATCCTCCTTCCTAACGTCCCTGCTCTTTTCACGCGGTGTCTTTTCCTGTCCCATCTCTTCTCCTTGTTTTTCCAGAAAAGAAAGTCCAGTTCCAGCGTTCAGTTAATGGTGAGTGTCCGCCGTCTCCCAAACACCGGTAAATGCTGGGCCTCAGACCCTCGCTCCCTCGCTCCCTGCCTCCTTCCTGCAGGCTGCACAGGAACCCGGGGGCGGGGAGAGTGTGCTCAGGGCATGCGTGGTACGTGTGCATCGTGTGACAATATGTGTGTGTTGTGTGTGTGTGTGTTGTTTGCGTGTTTCTGTTGACACCTCCAATTCCATGGCCCAGACCAGCAGGCCAACAGCAGATCCAAGGCCTTCCTCCAGTCCAAAGGTGGATTTGAACCAAGTCCAGCCCTCGGCTTCTTGCTTCTCCCACGCCCTCTGCTCATCTCAGGGCTTGGTTTGTACCGTTTGCTGCTAGGGCGGGGCTTGCTTTGACCAGAGAAGCAAGCATCATGGAGGAGGCTCCTTGAGCTTGTGCGGGCCACCCCAGCAGAGGAACCACAGCCCTGCCTCCGTCAAGAGGGCCAGGGGTGACACGGTGGCCCATGTCCCTCTTCTTCTGGTTCCACGACTGTCTCGGTTGCGCGGTTTTTCTCCCCCTCTGAAAAGCCCACCCTCTCTCACACTGGGCCTGCCTCTCTCTTTCTTCTTCTCCTGCCGGTGTGTGCATTCCTCCCCCATTCTGTGGCTCCCACAGTGTCTTTCTGCTCTTCTGTACCCTTTCTTTGCCTCCTGAGCAGAAAGGACCCAGGAAGCCCCTCTCAGCCCCCACCCCCACCCCCCCACTCCCGAGAGGCCAGGGATCTCCTTGCAGGTACTGCTTCATAGGAGCCCTGCCTCAGCCACCTGCTTAGCTGGGTCCCCTCAGGCTGGAGGGTCTGGCAGGGTTTTTCTAAAGCATCCGGACCACAGAGCCTGGGAAGCCACAGAGCCCAGCGAATCACCAGGCAGCCAGGTTGCCAAGCTGACCCAGCCCCTCCCGTCATCGCCAGGCCCTCCTCACCATCCCCCTCTTCTCTTTGGCAGGAGTCTTCCGAGAGCACCAACACCACCATCGAGGATGAAGACACCAAAGGTAGGAAGGCCTGGCCTGCTGAGCAGACCCTCACCGTTGTGCCCACGGCTAACAACCTGGATTTTTCGGCTTCTGATAAGCAGGGCATACTGTGGGCGTGGCTTCCCCAGACCGTGCCCAGAGCTGGAGGGGGCGGGGGCGGTGTACATACTTTAGCTTACAGATTTATTTCACCACCTCTCAGAGGGGGAAAAAATTAACATCGAAGCCGTAGATACATTGGAACAGCGTAATTTTTCCTTTGGAAATAAGTCATTTTATTTATCTATTTTTGACTGACTTCATTTTTAAAACATGAAGCAATGAGGATAAAGGAATAGAGAACAAAAATCCAGAAAGTTCAGTCAGCTGGAACCCATGCAGTCAAAACCAAAGACCAGCAAAACTAAAAAATGCAGGGGTTTGGTAGCTCACCATGTATTGCTTTCAGAAGCCAGCTGGGGTGGCACATCTGTAGTCCCAGTGCATGAGCGGCCAGCAGAAGAGGCATGAGCTGAGGCCAGTATGCTGGAACCTGGGCTCCCAATAAAACCTATCCGATGGATAAGGGAGCAAAGAGCCCCGTGGGAACAGGAGTCTTGAGAAAGGAAATATCAGGAGCCGTCTTTGGTTCATGGATACTTGCTAAACCCAGGGCTCCATCTGGACCAATATGTGGGTGTGTCCAACCTGCAGCCTAAAGGCCACTTGTGGCCAAGGATAGCCATGAACACAGCCCAACACAAAATCACAAACTTACTTAAAACACGACATCTTGAAAAGATTCATTTATTTTAGTTTTATGTGTATGAATATTTTGGGGACACGTGTAAGTGTACTAAGTGCACGTCTGGTGCCCTTCGAGGCCAGAGAGGACCCTGGACTCTCTGAAAATGGAGTTATGGGTGGTTGTAAGAAGCCATATGGGTTCTGGGAACTGAACCTGGGTCTTCAGACAGTTCTCTTAACTGCCGAACCATCCCTCCAGCTCTAAAACGTGTTTTTTTGGTTTTGTTTTTGTTTTTTGTTTTTTGTTTTTTTTGGTGTGTGTGTGTGTTTTGCAATTTATTTTTAACTTTTGTGACTGTATTGCATAGATCTTGCTCATGAACACTGCAGGTGATAACATTATTTCACAGTGTGAAAAGAGCGGACCTAGAGCTGTGGTTCTCAACCTTTCTAATGCTGCTGCGACCCTCTAATGCAGTTCCTCATATTCTGGTGACCCCCACCCTCCCAAGCATAAAATTATTTCATTGCTACTTCATAACTGTAGTTTTGCTACTGTTATGAATCATAAGGTAAATATCTGATGCGCAGGATATCCAACATGGGACCTGTAGTAGGGTCGCGCCCCACAGGTTGAGAACCCGGATGCTTACCACGGTCTCACAACTTACCCTTCCATGAACCCTCTTCTCCAGCCAAGAGTACAGGATGGAGAATTTGGGGACCGTGACTCAAGGTGGGGTCGGGATCTGAACCCAGGCATTTGCATCTGGACCCTGGTGAGCAGACAGTGTACTAGGAGGCCTTGGGAAGGTGTTCTGGGAAGGAGCCGTGTGCCGATTCTGCACAGGAAACAGCTCCTTGATGGTTTTGCCTGCACCAGCCCTCTCCCTCTCGCATTTCCCAAGTCAGGGAAAGTAGAGCACTCAGCCAGCGGCCTGCAGGCTGGGGGAGGGGCTAGAGATGCCCTGCGGGGAGGGGGCTGTTGAAGTCTGGAGAAGGATGGCTGGCCTGGAGGAATCTCAGCTGTGCTAGTTGAGGCAATTTTTATTTTTAGGGGTGTAGATATTTTGCTATGAAAAAATATTCAGTAGGGCTAGGGTTATAGGTTGATGACAGAGCCCTGGGTTTGATCCCTGACACTGGGGGGAAAAAAGAGATTGTGTTTATATGACAAGCATTTTATAATGTCCTAATGTTGTGTGGGGTGCAGTGAAGGATTACAGGCAGTTTTCACAAAGTATGGTGGCCTTCTGATCCTGCAGGGACCTGGGAGAAAGTCTGTCTGTCCATGTGCCTTTCTGGTCATTTCCAAATTGGTCGAGGAAGCAGTCTGGTGCCAGTAGATTGGTGTCCTGTGGTGGCTCCATGGACAACCTTGCAAGTGCATTCATTCGGCCCTGTGAGTCTGTCCGGAGCACATGCCCTGCCCGACCCCAGGTCATAGGTCTCTGGTCAAGCTAAGTTGCTTCTTAGACGTTCACCATATGGGAGACTCTCAGCCCCAGTGGGAAGAGATGGGCTCTGGGATTCTGAGACAACTCCATCTTATTCCTGGCCTTAGGGCAGATGGAAACCAAGAAGGTGATTTGGCTCTGTACTCCATTGCCTGGGTGACCGTTGACAACTTACTCAACCTCTCTGAGTCTCAGTTTCCTTAATAATAATCAGGTTATGATAATAGTACCAACTTCTGATATTTCTGTACAGATGAAATGGCAGCTGCAAGTACAGTACACACACAGCATTTGGCATGTGTGATTGTTTAAAAAAAATAAATCTTCATTTCTTTTTTTTTTTTAAACTGGAATTCCTTGGTTGAGTGACAGGAAGCCCCATGACATTTTCTTGGAGTGTCAATTTGATTCAAAGACTATTTTAAGACAAATATTTATATGTTAAACAGACAGAATATTTGGAATAGAATATAAAATGTGTATGCACTGGTAATGTAAAATAGGAGCTGCCAGTGATCTATTCCACCTGGACGGTGACTTTGGGCTGTGCCGTGAGGCTTCACGTTTGCCAGCAGCCTCCTCCGCTGTGAGGGAGCCGGGGAACAATTTGTCTCGGATTTTAATTTACTTCCTCCCCTTTTTATAGAGGGAGGAGAGGCCCACATGGATTACGGTATTCGTTATTTTTCCTGTTACTGTGGCAAAATAGCCTGTCAAAAGCAATTTAAGGAAGTGTTTGTTTTGGCTCCTAGTTTGAGGGCGCCATCCATTGTGGTAGGCAGTCATGGCTGTGGGAGCATAAGGCAGCCGGGGATGATGAATTTGCAGTCAGGAACCAATAGTCGGGAAACAGAAGCAGATGCCCGCGCTCAGCTCACCTGTTCCTTTCCAGTCAGTTCAGGGCCCCAGGCCGTGGGATGATGCCAGCCACATTCAGGGTGAGCCTTGCCTCTTCAGGTGAACCTTTGTGGAAGTGCCTTGGGAGACACACTCAAGGGTGTGTTTCTGTGATAATTTTAAACCCTGTCCATTTAAGGACCATCATGGTTACTAGCTGAAGATCTGGGACCTTGTTCCCTGCTCCGGCTTCCCCTCTTCATGCACAAACTGCCCAATGGCTCAATGTTCTGAAAGCACCCTCCTGTGAGAGCAGAGAAAAGCCCTTATACCCAGCACGCCCCGGCCCCACAGTTCAGAGGAAGTTCCAGGAGTACCACACTGTTTTCTGGCATGAACCTGTTAAATCTTCTTACCAAGTGAGCATAGTAGTCAGCTTGATCAACAGTTCATTGGAAATGTTATTCATCAGAACAGCATCCTTGGAGAGAAGGGAGGGGCGAGAGTTGTTCTGAGCACCTCTGGCTTTACGCAGGGCCCCGGCTCTCTGAGCTGTACCAGGCTCTGCCAGGCTTCCTTCCCATGCATACCCTTGCCTCTGCACGAAACCTGGTCAGAAACTGGGTAGACACCAGGAAATACTAGTCAGGAGTGCAGGCCCCAGCTAAGCGAGGCCTCAGTGTGCTGGGTTGTGATCTTAAGAGAGTTTTTGTTTTGGTTTTGGTTTTTGAGACAGGGATTCTCTGTATAGTCCTGCCTGTCTTGGATCTCCCTCTGTAGACCAGGCTGGCCTCCAACTCAGAGATCCGCCTGCCTCTGCCTCCAGAGTGCTGCGGTTAAAGGAGTGTGCCACTGCCACCTGGCCAAGAGATTTCCTTAATCTCTCTGGGGCCTCAGTTTTCTTGTCCGTAGAGGAATATTCCAGATCATCTGGGTGAGGAGACTAGCCAGCGGTCTGCAGTGAACAGCTGGAAAGACTGCTTGTAAAGCAATAGGAGGTACTAGAGCCCTGGGAAGGGAAGGACCCTGTTAGAATGGCCTTCAGATCCACAAGCACCAGGAGCCAGCCAGGTCTTCAGTCCCAGAGAACAAAGCTAGGGAGATTCTTGCTCTAGTAGCTTTGACTCTTGGAAAGCTGGGTGTCCTTGTCCTGGTGTCTGAAGGCATAGCCAAGCCAGGCTCACCTCGCAATGAATTCATGGAGGCACAATGTTCAGTGTGACTCCAGACCTAATACTGTACCATCTGAGACCGTGTGTCACATTCAGAGGTGTGTTCAGCCAGCTTCAGGAGCTTTGGATGCAAACTTGCAGTGGATCTGGAAACCACATTCCCCAGAAGAGAAGATGGGTCAGGGGAGGGCAGAGACTGGGGAACAGGGGCTCCCTTGGGGGCTCCAGGAAGCAGAAAGAAGAGCTCCTACATATAGTTCAGAGGCAGACTTCAGCCCGGAAGGCCCCAAGCCCACGAGGTACATACACACAGTCAGGTCCATACACATTTGTCTAACAGTGATGGCTGCTGCAGTCCATAACTCCGGTAGGACTGTGGCCTATGACTCAGACCTGCTGGAAGCACGCAGCTCATCTGGAACCTTGAGGCAGGGCTTGGACAAGTTTCTGCTTCCTGGTTTGCAGATGACAGGTATGACAGCTGTCTCTCGGTGAGCGCCAGGCCTTGCTCTGAATGCTTCAGTTCAGACACTGTCACTCAAATGATGGATGCATTGATATTGGGTGCTTGGAACACAGGTGCTCCCAGGTAGGGCTGCATGTGATTGCTCTTTCTACCGCGTCTCAGAATAACCCTAAAATGTAGGTGCTTCTGCTATCTCCATTATCCATATGGGTAAACTGAGGTCTACGGTCGTCTCTTAGAGCTATGAGGAGACAGAACAAGAATCCAAGCTTAGAGATCTTGACCCCAAAGCCCAGGGCTGGACCACTTTGCCACATTCCTTGTGAAGGCAGTAAGAAGCAGCCCGCAGGAGGAAGGAGATGAAGGAGATGAAGGAAAATTATGCTGGAGGGTCCCAGGGCATGGGCAAGGGCTCTGGCTCAGCTTCCACAGCCTGTCAGGAGCACGTGGGTTTGCTCTTCATTGTCCCCCCTGAGCCCATGGGGAGTGGCTAGTCTGCAGTCCCCGCTGGCAATGTCCACTTGCCCCAAGACCTGTCTCTGCTTTTGAGAAAAATAGCATGGCTGACCAGGAGCCCAGGTTCCGAAGCGCCTCAGAACAGGTGTACAGGTAGCTTGGGCAATTCCAGAGGCAGGGCAAAGGCAACTACAGCTCAGGCTCTAGTTGGGAGCCATCTGCTCATTCATTCATTCATTCATTCATTCCATATATGTATGTTGGGTACAACTTCTGCCCTGGTGGGCCCCTGAAAAAAGGGGAACAACCCTCGTGATGAACGACACTCGGGCTCTGATAGACATTCCAACCGGTCAGGGCAAGCTGGCTGATCAGGAGCATCGTGGTGGCTACGTTTGCTGGAACATTGTTCTCTCTGCCAAGCGCACGCTACATGCCAAGGGCTATGCTGGGTACGGATGTAGGGAGAGTTCAGTTGTGGTGCTGAGGTGAAGCTCTGGAACTCCACAGGCTACGTCCCTGGCCACAGCTGCGCGTACCCACTTGCTTAGTCTGTGCTGTAGCCGGTAGGGTCGGGCCAGCTCCAGATGTGCAAGGAAGCCGAGTCCCCACCTCCATGAGCTGGCGCTGAGTCTAGAGATACGGAGTGAGTGCCAAGCAGCTGTGAGGGGTTAGTGTTCTGAGGACGTGGGGTGTGAACACGTGGGCCGCAGCACCAGGATCCGGTAGAAAAAGCTCTGGGCCGTGAGCCAGACCGCACCCTGTGTTTCATGTCCCTGGGCAAGCTGCGACCCTCGCTGGGCCTCAGTTTCCTCGGGAGCCCAGAAAGGAGTTTGGGTTTCTGGCCAGCAGTAATTCTTCCAGCCGGGATGCCCTCAGAGTCCATCTCCCCCGGGTCTGAGGTGAGTGCCTGAGGCAGCTGGCAAGAAAAAGGGCAAGTCAGAGGCTCGGCCAGGTTTGGTTCTGAGGCTGGGGGATGGATGCTGAGACCTGCTGAACCCACTTCCTGGGCAGTGTGGCCTCTGCCTCACCATGGAGTGGTGGCCTGGTTTGGGGGAGAATTGCATCTGAGGGAAGGAGGGAAAGAGGGTCCTGCCCTGGACTAAGTAGGGTAGGATCTGTTCAGCTCTGCTGGGACCCAGGATGCTGCAGATTCCTTCATTATTGAGAGTCAGTCATCTCCTGTGTTGCCCTCCTGCCGGGGGTCTGGGAGGAGCAGGCAAGGCAAGCTGAGGTGTGGGCTGCCGGCCACGGCTGTGCTTACCATGAGCACCTGCTGTGGGCCGGGCTTGGGGACACTGCTTCATGCTCAGACCAGCTCTGGGAGGAGGACACTTTTCTCTCCACCTGACAAACCTGTCAGCCCCGTGGTCCTCAGCCCCATGGCCCATGAGGGCCCCAGCTGGGTTCTAGATGAAGATCTGTCTGGAATTGAAACCTGAATGCTTGGTGCTACCGGCTAGTTCTGAGTGAATCTCGTTCCGCAGGCGGGGATGCCGAGGGTCAGGCCATTGCACGTCTAATAAGGGGCCTGGCATTTAACTCTCTACCAGAAAATCAGCTTCCTGTCTTTCCGTGGAAGACAGGGGAAAGCAGTTGACCCTAGAAGTTTCTAGACAACTCAGCCTGAAACTTACAGTCACTCAAATTGAGGGAAAACTACCTAGACAACACAAGGGATGAGTAACCTCAAAGACTTTCCTTTGTGACCCCAAGTTTGCCTGTGGGGGACCCCTGGTTTGTGACTGCCAGTAATCACACGATGTGTAACATTGTTTCGATTCACACGGCAAATCAAGATGGCTGTTTTGGAGTCAAAACCCGGCTTCAAACAAGACCCAGAGTCTGAACGTCCACCATGGTGTTTGGAGGTCAATGACGGCTGACAGCTGAGGCAATGCCTCTGCCTTTTGTAGCGCAGGAAACGACACCCCCCCATGCCCTCCACCCCACCCCCCAACCCGCTTTCAGCCTCAGTCTCTTGTGGGAAACGGGGCTCATGATCTCTCTCTCCCAGGGATAGCAAAAGGTTGAGTGAGATCATCTGTACACCGTGTCAGGTCGCCACAGAGCCTGCCTGGCACGTGCTGCCGCCGGGGACTCGGAAGCTGGTGCTTGGTCCCCCTGTGACTACCGCCGTTATTATTATTTGTGTCCTCTCCTACCTTACAGTGCGCAAACAGGAAATTATCAAAGTGACAGAGCAGCTGATTGAAGCCATAAGCAATGGAGATTTTGAGTCCTACACGTGAGTCAGCCAGGCTCATTCTGCATGCTCTGCCTGGATGGGGTTTCGGGGGTGCTAGCTGTGGGTTACTGAGCAGACTCACTCTCTGCATGGACTGCGAATGAGATGGAGCTCCGTCCTTTCTGGCCTGCACTGGGGGCGTTCGCGACACTACCTGTTCCTCTTCCTGCCAGCCTGTTCCCAGGAGGAGCCCCAATAAAGCTACTTTTGTTTTCCTGCCCCAAAAGAAAAGAGGTCTGTGCCCTAACATGGGAAGAAGGGAATAGAGGCAGGCCCTTCTCCATCCTGCCCAGTGGGTCTATTCCCTGGATCTCCACGGGTCTTTGACTTCAATTGAGCAGGAATGGGCAGGGACCCAGAGGGTTTGCACCATCAATGAGCAAGAGTGAGCAAAGTGAACCTTAAACCCTCTGGGGAACGAGGCACACAGTCTGAAACAGAATTCCTCTGCTCACACACCTGCTCCAGCCCTTGGAGAGGCAGCTGTGTGCATAAACTGGGCTTCAGCGCCCCCTAGTGGTCACCACACATTTGCTGGTCTTTCTGCCTGGCCCAGAGAGAATAGGTAGGTGCTCTGGGTGTAGGCGTTGGCATTTTGCCCAGGGCCGATGGGGTCTGGACCTGGCAATCCCACACCTGCTTTTTGGTGGGCAAAAGGTTCCAGCCAAGACAGAGTGACCCTTGCCTGTGGGGTTAATATGAGGAGGGAACAGCCTGGCTGGTGTGATCTCAGTTCACTGGAAGCTGCAATGTGCATGCATTCTAACCATGGGAACTAAATTCAGTCATTAGAAAGTCATTGGTTGTCTCTGGAGGAACAAGGTACTCGAGAGGCATATGTGAAGCCCAGGGTCCTCACATTATACATACATACATATACATACACACACACACACACACACACACACACACATATATGCTTGGACATGCACTTGCATGTGTACAAGTTACAAGTATATGATGAAGGAATGCACACAGGTATGTGTGCCAGAGTGTGGCAGGGTGTTGCATCAAGGCATGGAAGCAGACTCAGTCACTAGTCTTTTGGGTAGTTCTAGAGATGCTAAGTCAGGATGCATCAGGTTGGTGACTCTGAAAAACCGCAGCCAGGAAACAAAGAGCCAGTGAGGTGGCCTTTCTGGGTGTCATGGGAAAACTCCCCCCCTCTGTAATGTTACAGGCTGTGATATCAGCCTACTCTAGGCCTTGAAGCTTACCATGGCCTTGGGGCCTGGGGTGCCCTGGAATTGTAGCCTCCCATGCTCCTGAATCAGCCCCTTCATCTCCCTGAGTCTCAGTTTCTATGTATGTACGATATACTTGGAGCAGACAGCCTTCAAGTCCTTCACGGATGCAGAGGACCCAGACACCCCCTTAATGAAGTTCTGCCGCAGGGCTGCACTTGAGGTAACCTCAAAAGCTTTGTCCATCCCAGGCAAGGCTGGGCCTGATGTCCTCTTCTGAGATTGCCAGCTCTAAAGTGGACAGGAAGCTTAGCCTGCGCAGGGGCCTTTCCTGACCCTAACTTCTTTGCTGTGGTCACAGGGGTTTGTGTTGTATCTCAAGAGATCCTCCAGGTATATAAATGACTCCCCATTTGCATCCTGCCCCTGCCTAGCAGTCGCACCAGAAGACTGACAGCAGGAAGGGACAGTCAGCTGAAAACACACAGCTTCCTTTTGCTGCCCCCCCAACCCCCGCCACATTCTCTGCTTCCTCTTTGATATCATCCTCTTAAAATTGTATTATTTTATGTGTATGGGCATTTTGCCTGCATGTATGTCTAGGTACCACATACGTGCCTGGTACCCGTAGAGGCCAGAAGAGGACCTGGAGTCACAGATGAGTGTGAGCTACCCTCGAACCCAGGTCCTCTGGAAGAACAACCAGTGCTTTTAGCCACTGAGCCATCACTCCAGCCTCAGGGACATCATCTTCTTTAAGGCTCCTTTCCTCATTCACAGCAGAGGAAACAGTCAGGGTGTTCCAGCCATAGGGTCCATTTTGTCCAAATTAGTAAAATGCACCTCCCCCATGTACACACCTAACTTGGGGAGCTGAGGTCAGTTTATGTAAAGGAAAAGGCACCTCGCTCCTGCACCCCAAGAGACAAGTTAGGAAAAGCCCCTTTGGGTCACTGCCCGGGAATGGGGTACAGTGTGGAGAATGAGGAGCAGGCTGTACAGCATGATGCCTCACCCCCTCCTGGTACTCTCGCTCCCAGAGGGAAACGCACATGCTGGGGACCCTATCATCAGTAAGCGGTAGAACCCGGGCTGAACTCGGGCTGCCTGGATGTAGCTGGCACCCACCTGTCCTGCTCCTCCTTTGTTGACCCCTCGAGGAAGGTGTGGTCATTCCCATTCTCCAGCTCACCCTCTGAAGGGGGGCGATGAGAAGTCATCTTCTCAGGCCCCTCTTTCCTCTGGCTTCCTTCCTCCAGGAAGATGTGTGACCCTGGAATGACAGCCTTCGAACCTGAGGCCCTGGGGAACCTGGTCGAGGGCCTGGACTTTCATCGATTCTATTTTGAAAACCGTGAGCAATCCCTTGTCTCTGGGGTGCCTGTTGTCTGCTCTCCTCCCATGTCCTGCTGGATGGCACAGCAGGGTGACAGGCAGGGCCTCAGGGGCGGCTGAAGCCCCTCAGGAGCCAGTGAAGAGGAAGATCCCATGTGGACAGGGGTTGGTACCTTCTTGGTTCCCTCTCCATTGATTGCCAGCTGGACTACCAGCTGTCCTTCCTATGGCTGAGGATGGGGTGAGGCTGGGGTGGGTCCCCAAAGACCAAAGACACCTATGACAAGCCTCCCCAGCCCCTTCCTGCCTTCTAGCCTGGGAGAGTTATGTGGAGGGTCTTTGTTCCCGTTTATAGACAGGGAGCTTTTACTAACTCATACCACAAGCTGCAGTCATCTGGAGGCTTGGGGCCGTCCCAGCTGCCCAGTGGCTGACAACATGGCTCCTAGGTTAGGATGCATATACCCTTACAGGTAGGGAGGAGCAGAGATTTCACACTGCTGTGCCCTGCCTGTTTGTCCAGGTCTCTGTCCTGCATGTCTGTCCTTCCTGGGCCTCTCCTCTGCAGGAGAGGTCTCAGAAGCTTGCAACCAGGGTGGGCAGGGTGCTGAGCCTGGGCCTGAACCAGGGAGCTTCCTGCTTGTCTGTGTCTTTCCCAGGCCAGGGGCCAGACAGGGACCGAGCCAAGGTTAGGATATGGAGGATGGACCTCAGGGGTGGTATAGTGAGCCTACCTCCAAATGACAGGTACAGACCACATGCACACACGCACACACGGACGCACGCTTTCTGGTATTTTTAGGCACCACAGATAGCATTGACTCAAATAGCAAGAAAGCCCTCCTCATGGAGTGCTCAGGCAGAGAAAGACCCAGCTCACACCTCTCTGACAGTTCCCAATTTCCCTCTTCCCCCCTCCCCCAAAGGGCAGCAAGGGCTCAGATGCCTTGCAGGCAAGAATGTGGGACAAGAATGATCTAACTATTTTCCCTTCATTGGACTTTCTTGTTTACTCTGTGCAGCCATTTGTCCACTAGGGATAATGCTGGAAAGTCTTATTGAGAATAATCACATTCGGGCTGGAGAGATGGCTCAGAGCTTAGGAGTGTGTACTGGCTCTTGCAGAGGACCTGGGTTCAGTTCCCATCACCCATGTCAATGTCCTAACTACCTATAATTCCAGCTCCAGAAGATCCAGCGCCCTCTTCTGGCTCCCATAGGCCATTGCGTTCTTGTGCACATACCCTCACCCACCCACACCCACACACCCTGCCCACATCAAGCACACAGACACATAAAAATAAAATCCTAAAAATAAACAAACACATTATGAAGCTAACCAGGATCATCATTTCGTGAAATAAGCACAGATGGTGTTTACATATGGTCTCAGACACAAAGCGCAGGTGGTATTGAGCCGACTCAAGGTGAAACACCATTCTGTCATTCAGAAGACATTCCCACTATGGCCGAGAGAGGGGAAGTGACTTGTCCAGAAGAATCCACAAAGCAAGCTGCAGACTTAGCTCTGTCTCCATCTGGTGCACCTTTTTTTTTTTTTTGCTGACAGGGCCCGTTCTGTCAGCATAGCAGCAGGACTCTCCACCTCTGGGCTTGCACCCCTCTGGCTGTATTTTAGGGAGTACAGGGATTCCAAGTATTCCCTCTTTTAAAAAAAAAAAAAAGGAAAGAAAGGAGCTACATTTCCTTACAGAATCAGACAGGATCCTCCATGCTGAGTGATGGAGACTGGATTCTTTTAAGAGAGGAAGCTGGACCTTGGGCCCTCTCTTCCTGTGAGCAGCTCCCCACCATTGGGGGACATGACCGTGGCTGTCATTATACCTCTGTCCTCTGGGGGTGCTGTTTCCCTGCTGTGGTCCCCAGGTCTCCACAGCGCCAGGCAGAGACCAGGCTAAGGCACTCGGCAGGTGCAGGGACCACCACCGAGGGGTCCGAATGCAGAAGGAAGTCCATGTTTCTGGTCCTGCTCAAGCAGCAGGTGCTCTCTCAGAACTGGCCCCGAGACCCTGTACTTAACTGTGCTCACTTGTCAGGAGGACTCACAGGGACGTGACCCAGTACAGCCTCTCAGCCCTGCAGAGCTTCCTTCCTGACTGTCCTTTCCTGCCCAGCACCTGGCCCTGTCCCCCACCTTGTCCCCGAGAAGGGTATCCTGGGAGCTGCTTATCTGGTCAAGTAATACCATGCTATGTTAAAGTCCCTGGGATCTCAGCCACGATCAACAATGGCAAAGCTTATCCCCACCACTACCAATGCTAGGCTGTTGGTTCCTTTAGGAATGGACGTGGATGGTCCTAATCCAACCACTGTGAGCTTGTCTTCTGTGGTTTTTTTTTTTTCCTCCAGAAATTGACAGCTTCCACCAAGTCAGATAGTGGTTTTGGATTCATTTCCCATGCATATTAATGGACACGTTGCCTCCAGCCTCATGCATCATGTTCAGGAACATTTAGGGAAGTCTCATGCACTTTGGAAAAGGAAAACTTGGTGACCCTTAGCCTCTAAAGCAGTGGTTCTCAACCTTCTTAACGCTGCGATCCTTTAATATGGTTCCTCATGTTGTGGTGACCCCCCAACCATAAAAGTATTTTTGTTACTATTTCATAACTGTAGTTTTGCTAGTTGTTGTGGATCGTAATGTAAATATCTGTGTTTTCTGATGGTCTCAGGTGACCCCTGTGAAAGCGTCAGTTGATGCAAAGGGTCATGACCCACAGTTTGAGAACCCCTGCTCTAAGGTTATTCTAAAAGTTTACATTTTCTGTGCCTGGGAGCTCAAAATTCTGAGTCTGTTATTCCATTTGAGACTTGCTTATTGAAGGCCTGGTCACACGATGATTGTAATAGGAAAGGGTGGGTGCCGTTAGGTGCTTTTTTTCAGTCTAGGGGAAAAAAAAAAGATAGCTTACATTTTCCAGGGGATATGTAGTTTGCAAATTGTGTTGGGTCATAGAATCAGACTATGAGGATGGAGAGGAAATCCTGGTGTTACACAGTCTCAAACTGGGGCGTCTTGGGTAGTGTCGGAGACCCCACAGTTGAGGCTAGCTGTTCACATGGTTGGGACCAATATTCAGGCGACCCTAGGGGAGGACACAAAGGTTCTTGTCAGAGTGAGAACCTGATGGCCTCTGTCTGCCCCTGGGTCAATGTCTTCTGTGCCTTTGTTTTACATCTTGATGAACAACTTGAGAGTTCCTAGAATACTCTGGTGATGTTGAGAATGGAGGTGGAAGCCATTTCCAGGCACTCTGGTTAGTTGTCATGACAACAAGATCTTCCCGTGTCTCCCTAGCCCTAGAAAGCCCTATGACCTCACTCCATGATGACTAACACGATCCCCCAACACTGAAGGTTCGAAGATTCTACAGTTCCATTTCCCCTGTGTCTGTAATTCAGTAGATGGCAATAGAGTTTTGATAAAGACAGGGTGGGGCCCGTCCAGATTACAGACGTTTCATGTGGTTTACAGGCCGTGTTACATTTGAATAACAGAACAATAGTTAAAAGTGAAGGCTTTCCCTATGAAAATCCAGAGAGATTTCCAGACTCTCTTGAGCAATAAGGTGTGAAACATGTGGTACCCAGAGGAGCTGTGGGCAGGGTGCCCTCTAGTCGGGACAAGGGGTCCTATTCGCCACAGTCCCCACCACTCCCTACTGCCTCCCTGACCCAGAGGGAGTGGCCTGGTTGCCATCAGCATCTTATTCCCAGCTCAGCCTCTGTCATTTAAGCGCTGGCCTGGTCCCAGTGTGCATCTGTGTTCAAGAAAAAGCAACAGTACCTGGTTCAGTAAATTGTCTGAGCTTCGTGCTTTTGTGTGTACAAGACACTAATTCTAAAATCCCACTCCCCCTGTGTGTGAGCAGTTTGGCATGTCTGAAGTCCGTTGTACCTTATCCGGGAGGTGGTATCCTGTTACCTAGGTTCCACAACAGCTCTGCCTTGACTCTCGGGTAGCCGGTCCCTGTCCCAGAAATTTCCCCTACTGCATATGAGTCAGGCAGAGGTGTCTCCCTGGAAAGGAAAGCTGGAAGCTGAGCGCAACGGAAATGAGGCAGGAAGTCCCCGCTCCCCTTGGGTTGCATTGCCTCAGCCCCTTCCCCATCCCTGCCTCCAGTGTGGTCCCGGAACAGCAAGCCCGTGCACACCACCATCCTGAACCCCCACATCCACCTGATGGGTGACGAGTCAGCGTGCATCGCCTACATCCGCATCACGCAGTACCTGGATGCCGGCGGCATCCCCCGCACGGCCCAGTCAGAGGAGACCCGTGTCTGGCATCGTCGAGATGGCAAATGGCAGATTGTCCACTTCCACAGATCCGGGGCACCCTCCGTCCTGCCCCAGTAAGAATCCTTTTCTTCCTGCGCCGCCGCTAGGGGGAGCTGATGCGCTGCCGTTAGGGGGAATTACGGGGTGTTGACCTAGTGCGGGGTAGGGGTGGGGGCAGCGGGGCATGCCCAAGGGAGCAGGCGGCTGCCTTCTGCCTCCGAATAGCTACAGAGAGGGTGACAAGAGACTCTGCAGATCCTGGGGGGAAGCAGGGCGGAAACCCGGGGAGGCAGCCCGTGTCTAAGGTGGTGGGGCTTACGGTGTCTTACAGTTGAAGGACCAGGCCGGGGTCCCTGCGTTGTCGCATCGCAGAGATCCACTCTTTGTCCGTGGAATGTGGCTGCTGGTCCTCTCTCGGATTTTGTTGGAATTCTCCTTGTCCTATCACCCCATTGTCACCTCTGTACCTGCATCATGACAATCCGCTCCCGCGCACAAGTCATCACAACATCCAAGCATATGGCCAGCTCTTCCCGGCTCCATCTCTTCCTCTCCCTCTCCCGCCAGTGGGGACCTTCTTCAGGCTTGGGTACCCAGGATGCTGGCCCCAGGAGCCCTTACCCCCCACAACCACTGTGGTTGGCTTGGCCTAGCTTTGGCTGTAGGTGAGGAGGCCTGTGTGCTTACTGGGAAGGGAGGAAGAGGAGGGCAAGTGTGCCCCTATCTTGGATCCCTCCTCTTCTGGGGTCCCCAGGGAAGCACGGAGGAGCCCCTCAATTTCCAAGCCAACTCCTTATGGGGGAGAGTAAGAGAGGAGGAGCCAGTGCCGGGAGCCCCTGCCTGGAACTGCTGTGCTCATGGTCGATGCTGGCCCTGCGTTGACCAGACCATCCGCTGTGGGGGAGGGGTGGGCAGCTCTCCCCTTCCTTCCGGCGCCCCACTGACTGCCTCAGCCCTTCTGTGAAGATCGCCTCCCGCGTTCACCTGCCCATTCTACCCTCCAAACGTCCTCGGAGAATTCCAGCTTCTTCTGTCGGAGAGGAAATCTGATGGTGTTTCAGGGGCAAAGCAAGCAACATTTAGGTATCCCCTTCTACTTGGACGCATGCCTTTTTACAGCCAAACTTCTGTGTATTTCGTAAATGGATTTTGCGTTAATGGATATTTATGTCTAACTAGACCTCAAGAGTCGGATCGGGTTGAGAAGTGGGTAGGAAGAGGGGTGAGGGGAAGTTTTTTTTTTTTTTTTTTTTTTTTTTTTTTTTTTTTTTTTTTTTTTTTTGGCGGCGGGGAGGTCTCTTTCTGAGGTGGCCTCACCCCCCAGGGAGCACAGCTTCCTCCCATTCTGGTCCCCAAGGTCAGCTGACAGGATTTCTTCCAGGGCCAGCATGACTAACATACAGTGAGTGAGTCAGGCCTCGGAGGCCACCAGGATAGGAAGATCCAGACTTGACATGTCTGGAACTGGAGTTGTCCTCACTACTGTACTTCCCAGGAATTCTTTCCCCGTATCTCTGTGCCAACCCCCCACCCCATCCCTCACTACCTCCTGAGCACGCACCCATTACTTCTTGGACGAAACAGAGCACCAGAAACTTATTTTCCTACTTCACGCTGAACTTGGGCCGGCTCTAGTGCGCCTGCCCGCCCGCCCTCCCTCCCTCCATCTCTTCTCTCCCTTCCTTTCTCTTCCTCTCTCTCCCTCTTCTTGGCTCTGATATGGAATGCTGTGTCTCGTCCATGGGGATCTCCTGTCTGCACTGTTTTCTTTGCATGACTTTATATGCAGTAAGTATGTTCAAAAAAAAAAAAACAAAAAAGAAGAAAAACACTCAGCAAAATCAAACGACATGTTTTGGACAAAATAATAATAATAATAATAATAATAATAATAATAACATTCGAGGTTGTATTCTCAGTGTCCAACTTGGAATTCTGTTGCTGCCTCTCTGTGCTTTTGGTCTCTGTGTGGCCGTGTTCTGCCAGCATGAGACATTGTCCCCTCTGGAGGATTCTAGGGGAGGAAGAGCCGTGCGTCCAGGGCTTTGGAGACAGCACTGATCCTCTCAGCTTTTCTGAGGGTTGACTGGAGCAGAAGTGGAAGGGATGTTTAACCCAGAGCTTTCTGGTGTGCCCCTCCCCCCCACGTAGTGAGCTATGTGCTGGGCTCTTCTCTCAAGTCCCGCTGCCCGGGGACACGTGCAGGGCAGAAGAGTGACTCTCTGGTCCAAGCCACCCCACTGTAGTCCTCTGCCCTTGCCAGAGAGACACTGCTGCCCCAGGCCCAGGCATGGGCCCTGGCCCTGCCTCAGAACCAGGCTTCTTCATAGGGCCCAGCGAACCCATTGTCCCCAGCCAAAGGTAGAGGAGGGTGTGGCCTTTACCAGGGGATGCTGCAATTACCAAGGAAGATCTAATCCCTTATTCGAGCCTCAGTTTCTCCATCCATGCTCCTACCCAGCGTGATGGAGGGTCAAACAAGATGGAGACACGAAGCCCACCCCACGTAGGAGAGCCTGCGGGGTTGGCCTCTGGCTGGCCTACTTATGTGCCAGGCCTGGCCGGTCCCTGTCCATTTCCCTACCTGCCCCTCATTTTCCTCTTTGGTGCCCGTCTGTTGCTCGCCAGCAATGGACTGCAGGGGAAAGAAGTATTTGGGGACTTCGGTGGCTTTGATTCCAGTCGCTGCTCTGGGTGAGGCTTTTGCCCCTCATGGGGCCTCAGTTTCCCCAACCAGAAGACGTCTGTGCCCTGCCTTCCGTTGGCTAACATGCCCCCTGTCCACTCTGTGCCTCTCCATATGTGGAAGCAGTGGAGGCAGATCCCTACCCCAGTCTGAGACGGTCCACTCTGCAGAGGCCGCTCCTGTGGGTGGGCAGCCAACTGGTGTAGACCTTGGGACACTCCCAAGCAGGCAGGGGACCGGGCAGGAAAAAAAAAAAAAACTGCCCAGAGCCCACCCTCACCAGACAAGCTCCATGCTCCTCCCAAATACCCTCTAGATGAAAAAAGAAAGGAAGGAAGGAAGGAAGGAAGGAAGGAAGGAAGGAAGGAAGG